CTCCCCTCCCCTCCCCCCCGGCTGTAATTGAGTAAAAGTTACATTCGACCTCATTCGAATTAATACCTACTCGGCCCCCAGCCGTAATTAAGTAAAATTTACATTCGACCTCGTTCGAATTAACACATACTCGGCCCCCAGCCGTAATTAAGTAAAATTTACATTCGACCTCGTTCGAATTAACTAAGTACAGGTTACATTTGACCTCGTTCGAATTAACACATACTCGGCCCCCAGCCTTAATTAAGTAAAAGTTACATTTGGCCTTGTTCGAATTAATAAAGTACATGTTACATTCGACCTCGTTCGACTTAACACCTACTCGACCCCCGCCATAATTAAGTAAAAAATACATTTGACCTCGTTCGAATTAACTAAGTACAGGTTATATTCGACCCCGTTCGAATTAATACCTACTCGACCCCCGGCCATAATTAAGTAAAAGTTACATTTGACCTTGTTCGAATTAACTAAATACAGGTTACATTCGACCTCGTCTGAGTTAACACCTACTCGGCCTCCGGCCGTAATTAAGTAAAATTTACATTCTACCTCGTTTGAATTAACTAAGTATGTGTTACATTCGACCTCGTTTAAATCAACAACTACTCCCCCCGATCGTAATTAAGTAAAAGATGCATTTGACCTCATTCGAATTAACTAAGTACAGGTTACATTCGACCTCGTTCGAATTAACTCCTACTCGGACCCCGACCGTAATTAAATAAAAGTTACATTCGACCTCGTTCTAATTAACTAAGTAAAAGTTATATTCGACCTCGTTCGAATTAACTATGTAAAAGTTACGTTCGACCTCGTTCGAATTAACTAAGTAAAAGTTACATTCGACCTCGTTCGAATTAACTAAGTAATGTTACATTCGACCCCATTCAAATTAACATCTACTCAACCCCCGACCGTAATTAAGTAAAAATTACATTTGACCTCATTCGAATTAACTAAGTAAAAGCTACTTTCGACCTCGTTTGAATTAATTAAGTACATGTTACATTCGACCTCGTTCGAATTAACTATGGGTTATAGTCAACCTTACTTGAATTAACCAAGTATAGGTTACAATTCTACCTCGTTCGAATCAACACATACTGGCCCGAGCCCTCGGCAATGATCAAAACTGAGTTCTGTTTTGACCTCGTTCAACCCACATGAACCAACTTTTTATGACCAAAGCAACCAAAAAGCAAAACTAAAGAAAGAGGCATACAAACCTGAACGGAAGGAAAAGAATAAGGTACGAGCAACATAACTAGCATTTCATACTTGGAATATTCTTTTTACAAAGGCTAGAACAAATCCTCACAAAAATATTTACACAAAAGTCTACAAACAAAAAGAAGGAAAAACAACTAATTGACGCGTAACCCAGCAGCGCCATCTGCCTCTCCACCATCGCCATCGCCATCGGGATATTCATCCTCACACCAGGCGTCCTCTTCAATCCGATCCACTCTCACATCCTCCTCGTCATCACCGACCTCAGGTGTAGCGGGGTCAGAGCCACAAACGACACGGGTTGTACGTGCCTTAGCACGAGCGTCCTCAAAGTCGACCTCAAAAAATTTACCCGCACCCATCAGATCTCTAAATATATCCAGTTGGGCCTCGACGTGGATCCACTTCTCATACAGATCATGCAGAATATCAGGGAAAACGGAAGTGCGAGAAGAATACGGTTCAGCCAATAATTGTGACTTCTCGACCTCAAAAACAGCAACTTGATCATCAAGGCATGAAACCTCTTTTTCCAACTCCCCTATCTGCTCATCAAGTCGCTATTCTCTAAGCATGGCCGTCTCTAGAGCGCTCTCCCCCTCGTAACAAAGAATGCGGACCACGATCTCTAGTGCCTCCATTTTTCTCGATGCCGCCAACTGGGCCAACTCCGCCTTCTCTAAGTCCGTTGTCTTCTCGGCAACCTCGCTATTGAGAACGTCCGCCTTGATTAGACATTCCTCGATCTCGTCCCGCAATGACACCACTTGGGCTTGGAGATTGGCACATTGGGCCTCGACCCCCTTGCTCACCTCGAGCTCTTCTTTTTATCTCTCAACACCCCCTTGAGGACACTGCATTTTACGATGACTCTCACCAACTCATCATCTTTCCTTTTCATCTTGTCTCGGAGAGCTTGAAAGTTGCCACCCTCACCAAACCCCCTGCAGATCTCACAATACATATTGCGGTACTCACGATTCTTCCGCTCCATCTTTTGAAAAATGGCTTTGCGCCTCTCCTCATGGCGGGCACTCTTGATTTCCAAAATCACAGTCTGAAAACAAAGACAAACAACAAGTAAGAATGAAGTACAAAGCACATAATTTGAAAGGAAAATCGAAAAAACTTACCCTAAGGGCGAGGCCGAATGTGAGCACGTAATTTTTGTCCTATGCAAATATTCCTACAAAATCAAAAATAATAATAAATAAACAAAACAATAGTTTCTAGTTATTTTTGATTTTTTGTAGAATTTTTAGGAATTTCTCTTTATTTGTTTGTTTGCATTTAGTTACATTTTTGTGCATATTTAATGTATTAAAATCATAGAAAACCCATAAAATTCTCAAATCTTAATTCCATATAATTTTAGGTTTTAATTGCATTTTTAGAAATTAATTATATAACTAATACATGAAAATCACAACAAAAAATATGTTAGTCACTTTACATGCATCTTTAGTTAAATAATTGGTTAAATGATAGTTAACACGCTAATTTTGCAAAATTAGGTTCAATTTAGGTATTTTATCTAGAGTGGTTATTTAGCAATTAAAACAAAAGAATGATTGGGTTGTTGACATTCTTAACTAGACCAAGCAAAATCAATGGCCCAACTGACCAAAACACCAGCCCAAACCCACACCCAATCCGCCCCACAACCTGGCCCAATATACTCCTCTTCCGTAAAAATGAGTAAGGGCTAGCCAGCTTTCGGACTTTTAATTCAAAAATAGCCACCGTTTGCAAAGTCATTGAAAAATAGTCACTATTTTGCTGCAACACGGATCAGTCAAGCATAATATACTAGCGCTTGTAAATCTAGCTATTTTTGAACTTCTCATTCCTCTTCCATCTATTAAAATAGGCCAAACCCATATACAACCCATTTAACTTGGCTCCATTTTTTATTTTATCACTTTATCTCAATCTTGTTCCATTTTGGCCCTCCAACTCTATTTCTTATGTTTTATTTTAACACAAAAGTTGAAACCAGTGCAAAAAAATATAGCGCGTGTGTATACACAAATCTGAGGTGTAATAAATATCCAATTAAATATTGTCATCTGATTTTTTTTATCCTTTATTTCATATAAGCTTGAAGTTTGAAGTGAATCTATATCTCAAAGAAAATTATTTTTTCATAATGGAATGGATATTTGCTCTTGTGAATTTCAAGTTGAACTGAAAGTATCATGGACACCAAAATATCAGGGTCAAGTATTTTAGTATTGACCCGTTTGACAAGTATGAACAACTTTTAATTGGATATTTATTACACCTCAGATTTGTGTATACACATGTGCTATATTTTTTTGCACTGGTTTTAGCTTTTGTGTTAAAATAAAACATAAAAAGTAGAGTTGGAGGGCCAAAATAGAATAAGTTTGAGATAGAGTGCCAAAATAAAAAATGAGATCAAGTTAAATGCGTTGTATATTTATTTGGCTATTAAAATAACATCTCCGACCAAGAGTTTGTGAGTTCGAGTCATCTCTCTGTACCAGAATAGGGGTAAGGTATGCGTGCAAACTAACTCCTCACACCCAGCTAATGGGATTATAATGGTTGTTGTTCTTGTTGTTGTAAAATAACATATCCCCAATTCCCTGCAGAATAGAGACGGTCTCCCTCCCTTTTACAAACTTCCCCTCTCCTTCCACACTATTCCTAGCAGCTCACCTCTCCATGGTTAATCTCTCGCCAACACACAGGGGTGTATCTATGTAGGGGATCGGGGGTGGTACGCCACCCGGTCGCTCGAGTAAAATCATATACATGTACTAGTATTTTCCTTAAAATATTGAACATATATAACGAGTGGCACCCCAAGTTAGAAAATGACTATAGGTGCCACGGTTAAAGCACTGAAATTCCATATAAAAGGCCCAGGATCAAGACTATGTTGTGGTCCTAGTTGTTTTGTTGTTGTCCTTTTCCCTTCCCTTTTCTTTTCTTTATGCTCCTTCTTTTAATTTCTTCACCTATGTTATTTACTCTTCTTGTGCAATCTCCTTTTTATTATTTATTTAAATTGTATATTTGCTTCCTTTTTTTTCTAGATCTTTAATTTATTTGAATGTGATTTTAATCATTTTCTCTTTTTATCCATCTAATATTATTTTATTAAGTTTAGAAATTAGAGTGATGCATGGAATACATAATATTAATCGAGCTGTATATAGATTGAAGTGGTGTATTTCCTAATTTAAAATTTTATTTTTCTTTATATTTTTTTATCATATTAATCGAATTTGAACCTAGAGAATTAGACCAAATTGGACAGAACTTATTCGAGTTTGTGGTCACATATTCATTTATGCATAAAATAATTTTAAATGGAATTGAATTGAATTAATTCAAAATGGACCGAACCGAACGGAATCGAATTAATTAAAAATGGATCGAACCGACTAAATCTATATCCAAGTTCAATCTCTTCACTATGGACGGTTTGCATTAAAAGCAGTAGCACCGGGGGCATTCGCAGAACTTTTGTAAGTGGTGTCAAAATTTATAGAAGAACGAGAATAATAACTTTAATTACCATACTTCTAGACGAAAAATAATTTTAATCTATTAGTTTTGTTGAGTCTTAAGTAAAAAAATATCTTAAATTAAATTCTATTTCATTAGAACTCTCAAATATTTGTAAAAATGATGTGCTAGTTGAGGTTCGAACATGCGACATCTTACGTCTTAGAGCAAAATCAAAATAGATAACCAATACACCAAGAGACAAATTATNTATATATAGCAAAAACATTCGAAGAAGCGGCGTCGACACCGATTGATAAATGTGCATCTGCCACCCGTAACCATCAAATGATCCGCCTTACCCACTGATCTCTTCTTTCACACATTCGCTCACACACCACAATACAAATTCCTCACTCATTCACTCTCCATTCCTCATTGACGCAAAAAAACAGCCAAAAACGCCTTCAGAGAAGCCATGGATTACTGAGTTAGAATCTGAAATTTCCAGTTTTAAAAAAAAAGAAAAAAAAAAGAAGAAGAAGTAAAGTTAGGTCGATTTTCCTTTTCAAAAGGCTGTGGAGAAGTTGCATCTGTTTCTGCTTGATTCTAGAGAATTTTTTTATTATTTCTGGGTTTTTGGCAAGCCGATTTGGTCTTCAATCCTGCTGATAGCTGTTGGAATCGTTGCTGAGCTCTAGTCGAGGCTATTTCTGACCTTTATTTGGTCTGTTCCCTAGTGTTTTCTCGGCTTTGAACTGGTAAGTTCGACATCTCTGTACTTACATGTTCCTTTGAAATGACAGCCCTTATTCTCTATGAAATCTGGCATAATTTGTTAAACTCTCATGTTTGGACTGTAATATGATTATGGACATGAATGCATTTCTAACGTAGTGTAATTAAAGTAGATGCTGAAATTTGGTTAATTCAAGATATGAACACCAGCATAATTATATGAAATGAGTAGTTAAACAATTTAATTAAGCCAAGTATGATTAAAGCAACCGTGCCAAAACTACGGAATCCGGGAATGCCTAACACCTTCTCCCGTGTTAACAGAATTACTTACCCGGCCTTCTGATTTTTCTCGTACTTTAAAACAGAGTCAAAATTACTCGATTTGGGATTTAAAATAAACCGGTTATTTGGGCCACCACCAAAAATATTCCAAGTGGCGACTCTGAATTAAATAAATAATCTCATTTTGAATAATGTCACTTTAATTGGAAAAAATCCCTATTCCCTCGGGTAATGTCGACCGTATCAGCGACAGAACTCCCGACCTCCCCTTTTGCGTCATTTAATAGATGAAGATGAGGGGTCATCGCCAAGCAAGGGGCCATCTGGGGACCAACTGTATAAGCCAAAATCTGTCCTAAGGGAATTTAGCATAAAGTGGTAATAAGGAAAAAGATGCGGTCGAGGTTGACTAGGAAACAATGGGATTCGTGGCTGGGCACTCAACAATGGTCGAGGTCGAGCATCAAGGGTAGAGCACTAACGGATAATTTTTGTAATAAGATATTAGAGAAAATATTTCATTGAATATTTTCTGCACTTGTACTATTAGGGTTGATTAGGGATATGTCTCGTATAAAGAGAAAAAGAGATAAGGGGATAAGGCATGTAATAGTCATTTGATAAGAACACTTTTTGAGAAGAAGTTTTTACTAAGATTCCATCATCTATTATTTCATACTTTTCCATCAGATCCGAGAATAGTTCCAATATTCTAGGATTTATTTGTCATTCATCGCTGTCAGAAAGAAGAATCATCCACCTCATTCAATATTGGGTGAATCATTCTTCTTATTTACACAAATGTTATTCATTGCTATTTATTGCTTGATATTCCTTTATTATTGCTCAAATCCTTTGGAATATTAAATGCGCACTGTTTTCAGTTCCCCACCAGCATTATCTCACTTTATTTATGCTAACTAGTTCTAAATCTAGAGATATTATCATTAACTAGGTTTAACCCTTTATTACATAAGATTTAATAGTTTAACCGAAAGTTTGTATTTTTTGGTCAAACAATTTGGCGCCGTTTGTGCGGATTTCCTAGTTAAATTTTTTGTTTCTTCTAGATCTACAACTAGCACGGATTGCTAACAAAAAAACACATAGAGAACAAAACTCCTTTTTTCTTTGTACACACATATCTGACATGGCAGGTAACGGAGAAGAAAGAATGAGGGTAGTGACCGACCTCACCACCAATCTCTTGAACACCATCAATGAGGTTTCTGAGACAGAAGGCGAGAACATAACGCCTAATGCCTCTCCCAAGCGAGGCGGGTCGCCTCTCCCTCACGGCAGTATCGCAACATCCGGTAGTAAAGGAGCCTCCACATCCGTGATGGAAGAGACGCCACCAGCGGTGAACAAGCTTCTTGAGGCTTGGCTAACTGACACCAGCATTATCTCACATTATTTATGCTAACTAGTTCTAAATCTAGAGATATTATCATTAACTAGGTTTAACCCTTTATTACATAAGAATTAATAATTTAACCGAAAGTTTGTATTTTTTGGTCAAACACTGAGCTCATAGTGTAAAGAAAATTTACACAGTAAATCTATATAAGTTAAATCCTAGGGTTATTTAAATTCCATATTTTCTCTGTTTTAAAAAAACAAAAAAGGAAAATCTTCAGCCAAATTAACACTTGGCCCGCGGCTGCCAACAACTGCCCGCCGTTTCTGTCTCCGGCCAACTCCAGTTGTAAGTTCCTCTCTCTCTCTCTCTCTCTAACTCATATACACATATCTCTTTTTCTCTCTCATATCTCGCTTATGTATGTCTTTTTAATGGTTTGACTATTTGATAGTCTTTAGGTAAATTGGAGATATGGAAAATATAGTTAAAAAGTATCAGCAGAGATTCAGGAAGGTGAAGGAAGAGATGGACACGTGGAATGATCTTCAATCTCGACTGCTTTCTCAGTTCACCAATGCTTCTTCCATCATTCAGCGGTTACAGGTAATTAACTTTCCCAGCTTTTTTAACCATGTTCTAATGGCTGGCTTCTAACAGTAAAGGGCTTTTGACATAGTTTACTTTTGTCCCTTATAAAAGATTACATTTTTATGCAGATTCTTCAAGATTCTAAGAATTATGGTGCCCTGAGATGTGTTGAAGGCATTGAAGAAGCTGTTTTGCTTAAGCAAATGGATTCTCTTCAAACTATCTTGCTTTCTATGAATCAAACTATGTAGGTCCTTTTTTTTGTCTTTCTATTTCATGATTTTTAGTTATGTCAATCAATCAACTATATGTCAATCCGAACTAGTTGGGGTCGGCTATATGAATCTTTTTACTATTCGGGCTCATTTCATTCTAATACCAAAAATTAGTCTTTTAAGTTAAACTAGAGGCTATTTGAAACACTTATATGCAAGTCGCTAACTATAGATAAAATAACTAGTGGCAAACACAAACTTTCCTCAGTTATAAAAGTCAAATATTTGTCATTGCCCTTTCGAATTTTTTGTTGGTAATTGATTATGTTAGCAAAAGTAGCATTATTTTCCTTGTTTTTGACTTTCTTAAAACTGTGGGATGAGTTTTGTTGTACTCCTTTGTAATGTTATAGAGCAGTAAGTGAATTGCTTTTGCAGTTTACTTGTGCATTTAGTTATTGGAGCTAGATGTTGATTATCAACTAAGAGGGTTATTCTTTTTTCCCCTCTTTCTGTTTGGTTCAAAATCTAGGGAAAAATTTCGCTCTGTCGTGTTATCGCTTGAGAAGATGGTTCGTGATGGTAGACAGCTCATAAAAGGGGGATCCACCCAAGTAACTGTGAAACAGCTGCAGCAACGCGTTGGAGTAAAACCAAGCATTGCTGATTGCTTGGACGGGCTAAAACTTCTCTGTGAGATGCACCAATCAGAGTATGCATAGATAAGAAAATATGTTTTTCCTGTTTCAATTTTCCTGCCTTATTTATCTTAAATTACGAAGTTTATTGTTTTTTAGTACTAGTAAATTCCATTGTTGAGCCTTTATTACAGATAATATGCTGTTTCCTAGTAATATAGCTGTACTTTGATCTTTCTTCCTTTGAATTAGATTTTCAGATGTTATCCTTAAAAAGAAAAATGATATATAATCATGCAATCCACTATCACCTCCTTAGTATCACTTCCTGCATCAGGAGCTTTTCTCTTTACTGTGAAAATGATATAGCTGTGCTATTTGCTATGGTAGGTTAACATGAACAAAACTTTGGTTTGAAATCAAGTTACCTCTTTCTTCTCTTTCTTCCTGTCACCTCGAATGGATTTGATATAGTTTTCTTTTGTCATACGAACTAGTTCTTATCCTTGCATTATTATGCATTGAACACTTTACGTTACCGATTCTCTCAGTACATTATTTCAGGTACCATCTTAAATTATCGGTCATATCAGCAGTTGCTTTAAAACCCAGGTATCATATGACACAGTTATTTTCCACTTATTTTCCTTTATAGATCTCACTGGCAGAGCTATAGGTGGTCAATGTCCTGTCAATTTATTTTTCTTTTCCTGTTTTGTTGGCTTGATATCCGTTTTTGAGTAAAAAATGAAGCTCATGCTGTTTCGATTCGTGAAGAGCATTGGGATATTCTGGGATTTCATCCTAGTCTTGTCATTAGGTTCCATTTCTCTTTCTTTTAAAAATTTATGCACATATTGAAGCTTGATTTCCCTGCAGTGCACCTGATGATTTAGGCGCGCTTCAGCAACTGTTGGTTGATCAACCTAACATCCCCAAAGAGGAAGGTGAGTAAAAATCGATGTAGTAAAGCAATTCAAGTGACTTGCTAATCCATGTGGCATATGGTGTGGGTTTGAATTTGTGCAAGTCGCATCAAGAACGAAACTATCCATCTTTATTCATCCTAAAAAAAAAAGAACAATAAAAGCAGTGTCAGTATGAATCTAACAGCCTATAGACAGTTACTCTTTCCTGTTAAATGAACATCTTGTTGTCAGAACAAACTGTTATAGCATGGCAGATGTATCTTTGCACGTTTATGAAGAGAAGAACTGAATGTATTTTGGTTTTGTCAAAATTTGGATGTGGTGATTACAAGTTCTCTTTCGTTAAGTAAGGAAAGAGAATTTTGTATTAGAAGTACCAACATGTGGATATGACATTTGTCTGACATGAGTCAATAATATTCTGTCAGACACGAGTCTAGGACAACCTAAAATTAGAAGGCAGACACTCTTTTGGTGCAGCCTGAACTAAAGATATGGATGTTGACCTGATAATGCATGGAAAGTTTGTTATGGAAGAAGAAAAAAAAGTTATATATTGTCTCTTAAACCTGGATTACCGACCTCTATGCTCACAGTCAAACCTAGAATGTAGGAGTTAAATTACAAGATTATAAAAACATTGAATTGCTTCAAAGCTGTGAATTTTACAATTAGAGTCTCAGGCATGTAGTTTTTCATGATTCCTCTTCTCCTTCCTTTGCGGTTTAGTTATTAAGGCAGCTAGTACCCACCGTAATGTTGTTTAAGTTACTAATGATGCGTAACTTCGTGTTAATTATCCCATCAAGTTACCTAATGCCTTAGATTATAGCTCCTCGGAAATGTACAAGGTAAGATCAACCATATGAAGCCTCTTGACAATGTAATTTTGCTTGTAGCTGGAATTAAGCATTATGGCAGTAAGGTTTCGTTAGCTCGAGTTGAGCTTCAGATGTGCTAAAACAGAAGCTTTTAATGCATTGTTTTAAGTGCACACATATGTTGTTGTTATCGAACCCACACTTCTACAATCTAATTGCTTCTATTCTGCAGTACAATTCATTTTTGATATCATATTCGCTGAAGAGATGGCTTGATGTCCTTCTCGCATGGATTTTTGGACCCATGAAGTGATTTCTGAACTGGTGAAATCTGTTTTAAGTTCAGACTGAAGAAATTGAGGCTTTTCCCTGACCAAAGAGAACACAGTCGTCGATATTGGAAGGGGTTGGAACCTGGAAATGGAAGAGATTCTTAATATAGATATCACTGTAAACTTTAGCTGCTTTGTATATTTATTTCATTTATTTACATTTTCTATAAACAACTTTTTGTTCTATTGGTCCTTAGTTGGTAACATAGTTGTGATCAAATATGAAACATCTTAACTAGTGATCTTTTTGGCAAGGGTATCCAAATTCTGATTGTTGAGATTAAAGAAATAACATAGATCCCTGTCCTTTTGAAAAGTACTTGTCCAATTGATACTAGGCTAAGTTATATCTTTTGTAAAGTGCTTTCATGAAAGTTTCCTTCTTTATTTCTGCATCTGCTATACTTGGGTGGAGAAGAACTTGTCTCAAGTTTGGCTTTCGTCGATCAGTAAGATGTCCATGCAACGGTTATATCCTTTTTTTTCTTTCTTTTCATTTGTCCAGCCAACTGAAATTTCTTCTTGTGCAGCTCTCTTAATTTGCATCGCTTTCCCTCCTTGTCATATAATTCACTTCCTTATTTAGCATATAAGTTGATTCTGAAATAACTTGAAATTGTGTGATATTCATGGCAAGGAATTTCATGAACATTTTCAAATGAAATATTATCTGAGTTTCCATTCTGTTATAGATGAAGGCTCGACTTTCAAAGCTTTAGCAGTTGAACAGTCAGGTTATTTGGATGCATTCTGGAATGCTTTCTTGAACTCTTCATAAACATATAGTCGTTATTGTTTTCCTCATTATATCATTCTGTAGACCTTACAAGGATTAAGTCTAAGTATCTGGATGCATCATCATAGATTGATGGAGATCCCAAATCTGTGGAACAATCCTCCCATTTAAATTTATTGTTACAGGATCGCCAGAGACCAAACTTTCCATAGCTGCTTTCCTTGGTGAGCTGGTTCTTAAGAATGATGTGAAAGTGTTAGTGGCAAGGACTGTTGGTTCATCACTGATCGACATCATGAAACATGGTAACATGTCATCAAGAGAGGCTGCTTTAAAATCTCTAAATCAAATCTCGTCTTACGAGTCTAGTCACTAGTGCCAAGATCCTCATAGAGGCAGGTATACTCCCCCCTCTTATCAACTGCCGATGCGACTCAGAGATGTTTCTGCAACAATCCTTGCAAACATCGTCAACTCAGGGTATGATTTTGATTCAGTTCCAGTTGGCTCTGAATATAGGCACTTGTCTCAGAGGACATAGTTCACAATTTTCTGCATCTTATTAGCAACACCGGTCCTGCAATAGAATGCAAGCTTCTCCAAGTTCTTGTTGGTTTAACCAGTTATCCCACAACTGTTTTTAATGCTGTTTCTTCCATTAAAAGCTCGGCCGCGACTATCAGTTTGATTCAGTTTATTGAGGCTCCACAGAAAGATCTTCGGGTAGCTTCGATAAAGCTTCTGCGGAACCTCTCTCCTCATATGGGTCAAGAACTCGCTCGTTGCTTACGTGGTACATCAGNAGAACTCGCCCGTTGCTTACGTGGTACATCAGGTCAGCTTGGTAGTCTAATTAAAGTCATATCAGAGAATACTGGTATAACCGAGGAGCAAGCTGTGGCAGTTGGTCTTTTAGCTGATCTCCCTGAAAGGGATAGGGGACTTACAAGGCAAATGCTTGACGAAGGTGTCTTCCCGCTGGTAATCTCGAGGGAGAGACAATAGGGAGTCGCTTTGTTACGCCATATCTAGAAGGGCTCTTGAAAGTTCTCTCAAGGATCACATTTGTTTTGACTGATGCCGTTGCACTTTGTCGTGAACAGAATGTTGCCGCACTCTTCATTGAACTTCTGCAGACCAATGGGCTTGATTTGATAATGTGCAGACTTGACCAAATTGCCTGAGCTCTGCCAAAGCCAGGTTTTTGTGTAACGATCTTCCCTTGTTATAACGGGATTGTGTAAGGTCTATCGGGGGACATGTTCTCTGAGAGACACCTTCTGTCTCGACAAGTTGGTTGCACTTGTTGACCACAGAAATGAAAAGGTTGTTGAGGCATCTTTAAATGTTTTAAGGTTTATTGTTGTAAATGTATTGTTATTCAATTTTTACGAGTTTTGCTGAACCACAAAATCAAGTGCTCCATGTTCTGATTCAGTTGATTTGAAGCTTCTAACGGTCAGCCTGGTACACTAAACTCTCGCTACGTGGGACCAGTACGCAACCTTACCCTGTAGTTCTAGAACTACATGTTATTTTCACGGCACGAACCCAGCAAGGCGCCCCTTCTTGAAAATCTTCAGTCGATTCCAAATGCTTCTTTTGTCCCAAAATTGTTGTCAGCGAAGTTCACTGACTTGAATTATTTTTAGGTTCTTTTTCTCATTTATATGTAGAAAAAAGATTGAAAAGGAAGAAGAGCTGCTAAACCATTAAAAAACAGTTTATTATTCATATACTCAACATATTACAGAACAAATGAATGACCTGCATCAACAGAACTAATTCGAATAATAATGAAATAAACAAGAATATATAGATTAGTTAAACAGCATCAAACGTCCAACAAATGGTAAAAACTGGCTATAACAAAAGAATATGATCAACACTGCACATATTTTGACTAGTTAGCATTCAGAAGATCTGAAGCTGAGGAAACAGATGTTATCGTAGGTCTTCTTTGATCCGTCACA